AACCCTAACCCTAACCCTAACCCTAACCCTAACCCTAACCCTAACCCTAACCCTAACCCTAACCCTAACCCTAACCCTAACCCTAACCCTAACCCTAACCCTAACCCTAACCCTAACCCTAACCCTAACCCTAACCCTAAGATGTCTAGTGGTTCGGGGCTTGAGGGGTTGCCTGCCGATGATTCTTGCTCGGTGTTGACGAGTGATGGTAGTTCGTCGTACCCGTCGTCACGGAGTACCCAATGCTCGAGTTCGTCGAGGATAGTAAACTCGAGGCTCGCCTGGTCTGGTGTCCAAGAGCCGATGCTCAGGCGATATTCGTTCCAAACTGGGCTATGAAGGACGGCTCGTGCGTGAGTCCTTCCGATCCGGTCAAGCGTCCGTTGACGGATGAGTTCGATAGATGCCTGTCTCTGAGGCGTTGGTGCTACTGGTCGATCAAGGAGTAATCCTTCCTGGTAGGTCGCACGTCTGTATGCTTCCTCGAGCTGCCGAATGGAACGTTCGGCGTCCGCTGGTGTGGCTTGGCGTCGTACTAGGTTGTACGCTCGATGTTCCTCGGGGGTGCGGTTGTGGTTGTAGACGACTACCTCGTCGTCCGAGTAATCGACCGTAGTATGGTCACGGCCATGCGTTCGTCGAAGTTGGTCTGCGAGTTGACGAATAGAGTGCGCCACGGTGAATCCTATCCAGGGCGTGGTGGAAGAAATTTTGTTCTGATGTTACGCTGAAGTACTAACACAAGTCTATCCAGACTTATCACGCGGACTTATCCAAGTACGCGGTGTAGCACACGGGGAGAGAGTATAGCACAAGTCCCTAGATTGAGGGATATAGGGATACAGGAGGTAACGAAGAGGAGAACAGAAGTGGGGAGCCTCTACCGACTACAGGCCTCCTTATATACTATGGGGTACCGACCGTATTAGGAAGGGAAAGGTAACCGACCAAAGTGGGGAGGTATGAGGAGACTGTAAAGGAACGCGTCTGGTCGAGGCTGGGCCCAGTATAGTACAAGACCTAGGTCAGGGTCCTGTGATATAACCGAAAAGGGATAGAGACGGGACAGGGTCCTGAGTCTAGGTCAGGGTCAGGCAATATAACCGAAAAGGGAAAGGGGACGCGACAAGGGTCGGGGTCTGGGTCAGGGTAAAGTAATGTAACCGAAAAGGGAAACGGTACGAGGGTCGGACTCAGGGTCCGGT